ATAATGGATGTTTAATCAACATTTTAATATACGGTTTGGAGAATTTCTGGTCTTTGATTTTCCCAGCTCACATGTACTACTTAGTATAATTTTTCTTCAATTTGAAATTTAATGAAATTAAATGGACAGTTTTCTTAAAAATAATGTATATCGCTGCATATGACTGAAATTGGTCTAGACTTTGTTTAAACCTTATAACCTAATATCTGATTTCCGCTCCTCGGTACAACAGCAACCTCATATGCCCCATATTAAATCTACCTTCGGTTCAGTTTATATCACATATACCATGTTTGATTAAATAGCTTCTTTTATAAAAGTTAACATTTCGGAGAAAAATAGTATTGACACAAAATAAATCTATGATCAATAACAGTTAATTATACCAAATAATAATTGCGTAATGAATGTTTAATTCTTCGCAACATTTTTATACTTTCGCAACATGTTGCACAGATATAGTTTGTTCACTAAAGAGTTGTTTGCATCACTAAGTGAAGATATGAATTTCTATATACATATATTTCTTCTAATATTTGGTGATAATCAGTGGTTGGGTATATTTCCTCAGCCATCATGTTGAACTTATTATAAAATATACCAGACAACAATGCTAAAAAAGTTTCTTAGAGTGTTGGACTTTGTATAGAGCAAAAAAATCTTTCTAGAAAAACTTGCATGAAATAAATATTAGTAATGTAGTAACAAAAGGGCTAAAGACCCTTTTTATGTGGTTATAGATAAACTGCGACCCCATCGGTTTACATGCTACTGTCTATTATTTCAGTTTTGCGACACATTTTAATATGAAGGTCATGAGGTGAACTGTAAACTCAAGAAAACTACATTTTTACCTAGCGCCGTTGGCAGCTTATGAAAATTTAGATATTAAAACAGAAAGAAGAAAATCTACATACCTGCTCTTCATATGTGTATACCATACTTAATTATATGTTAGTTATTGTTAATTTAGCCTTCATGGGTGGACCCTTCAAAATTGGTACCATAATTCCCCCTGTTTTAGAAAGCGTTTAACAAAAGTAATTTACGGAGGGGTTTTCCGAAAACTTAGTTTCAATACAATGAAATAAACTACTAATTTCTGAAATATAAATATAACTAAATATTATGTATAATATTATTATGTTAGTGAATAGCTAAGTAATATATAGGTATACAAAAGTACGTAAGCTGTACCAACATGTTGCAAGAGTATAATAAATATCAGTACACTGTGTTTGTAGTTTCAGTTTCACTAGATGTCTTTACCAGCAAAGTGCTTTATACAAACTAATTTAATGTATTAGTTATATAGTGTTTAAAGTATTATTATATACAGTGACGAGTAAAACCTTATTATATACAGTGGCGAGCAAACACATATACATATGAACACCAGTATACCATAGTACCTATACACGGAACAGGAAAGGAGTCATAGCAAGGACTTACAAGGAATTACAGTGAAAGAGAGCAGCACCTAGGATCCAACTTTTAACACCCGGAAGGACTGAACTATATAAGTATTATCTATAAGTATTTTATATATTAATCCATTTATTATTAATTAATTATGCCTAGATTAAGTAGAAAATCTATATTACTAAGTCGTCTTCAGAATAGAAGACGTATGAGAGTTCTTCGTGCAAACTCTTTATATAGAGATGGTGAGCAGTCACAAAATACTGTAAGTCACGCTAATTGTAGATTAGATTCCGATGCACGTCTGTCCGAACAAATTATCAATACAAATCAACATAGAACCAGGCGGAGAAATCTCGAGGTACGGTCTTTTGAACAAAATTTAAATACAGTTCAACATAGAACAAGGCGGCAAGATCCGCAAATTCGCTCTGAAGAGCAAATAAGAGATACTCGAGGTCATAGGTCTCGGCATGAAGACCCCGAGGTTCGATCTGTTGAGCAAGTTGCAAATACTGTTCAACATAGAACAAGGCGGCAAGATTCGCAAATTCGCTCTGAAGAGCAAATAAGAGATACTCGAGGTCATAGGTCTCGGCATGAGACCCCGAGGTTGCAAGTTGCAAATACTGTTCAACATAGAACAAGGCGGCAAGATCCCCGAAATTCGCTCTGAAGAGCAAATAAGAGATACTCGAGGTCATAGGTCTCGGCGTGAAGATCCGAGGTTCGATCTGTTGAGCAAGTTGCAAATACTGTTCAACATAGAACAAGGCGGCAAGATCCAAAAATTCGCTCTGAAGAGCAAATAAGAAATACTCGAGGTCATAGATCTCGTCGAGAAAATCCTGAGGTACGTTATGATGAACAAAGTTATATTTGAACTTAGTCCACGAATTAAACAAACTGTTATTTACTACATACGGTGACTTTCGTTAATCTAACAAACCTTATGCCGAATATGTCGGACAGTGTATGAGTTATATGTTTATAAAATTGCTTGAAAAAATGCTCTTGACCTAAATATTGTCAAAAGTTTGTGCAATAAGCCCAGACGTTTTCCGTCCCCATATATTTTACATAGTGATTTCCGACTTCCCACCTCTCTTTAAACTGTTTGGTTGGTCAAAATGTGTGATATTAAAATTATGTGGTTTGGTGCTTACTTTTTACTTTTGCACGTCATCTCAATATTTTAAAGTTAACCTTTTTAATTGCGTTTATGTCAGATATGTCTTATTTGAGGATGATTTTAATATAAAGGGAAGCTAAATAGATTTGTAAAACTAATAACTAGTCTATATAATATACATAAATGAATTTCAATATTTGTAATCGATTCACGACTTCATCGAACAGTGAGAGTATTTCCCCTGCTTTGATCCTTGGAAGTTGCAAGAGTATAAAATGTTGGGTTACGCACGAACCAAGCCCTTCCTTACTTGTTAGCTCTTTTGTTACATGTTAACTTTTAAAGGAGATCAATGAATGGAATTATTACAATTTCAGTAGTTTTGAATAATACTTGAGAAGGGATAGTAATAATAATAACAATTCAAGATGCTAAGGGCGCGATCCGCATACGTGCGGAATTAGCGGAGTTATGAAAAGGAAGAGAGGTTTTTAACCCATTTCCTTCTTCGTTGCGTATACGCAGCGTCTTCTTTTCAAAAAATTTTATTTTCCATGCCCATTTTTACCGTTTTTGCGAAAATTTATTTAAGTATAATAAATAGAGAGGCTTTTAGTTAGTCTTGAAAATGTATATGAATTGATTCAAGGTTTTCGGGCTCCGCAACTCTGACGGATTGTTCAGGATGAATGTAATAGAAATAAACCATTTATAAGTTTTCCTTGCCTTTTTTTAAACGTATTCTTATGCCGTTCAGAAGAAGAATTTACGTTTGACAATTTTCAGTGTTCGAATTAAAATTTGTGTGACAAACACGTGTCTCCATATAGAAGTGTGCGTCAGAGTGTGTTTCGTAGGAAGTTCAGATATGGAGGGGGTTAAAGCCTAAGGATATACCTTCCGCACAAAAAATGGCACAATGTTTTGAAAAGCAACGTTGCGTATACGCAACAAAGGAAGAAAATCTGTTAAGCGTCGAAATCTAAAACTGTACAGCTACAGAAAGAAATAGTTTAGCAGCTAAGATTTAAAATTTACGAAGAAAAAGGAATATTGTACTTTTAAGTTTGAAAAGTGAGAATAAAATCAAATGTGTAGAAATAATAATTAAACTCATGATCTAAGCGGCAAAAAAGTTCGTTTAGTTTAAAATTTATCTACGAGAAAACTTTGCGACAGTATAAAAATATGATTCGCCTATATGATAGATGGAAACCAGTCTGCAGACATTTTTAAGTGATTTTTTGGGGACATGGCGTGGTACCATATTCATTTTTATAATCGAATACATACAAAGCACAAATAAAATGTGTTCGTAACAATTGACGATATGGCAAAATATCATGCAGGAATGTATGTAAACCATTTACCTACCCATCACGAAAATCATCAACGTGTAAAACAGGAAGCACATCCAATTATTACTGCTTTTGGTAAAAAACATTATAATTACACGTTTATAAAATCTCTATTGTATTCTTAAGTACATTCTTATTGCACATGGTGGGCTGCTGAAAACTGTAAAGTTACTACTAGATGGAAGACACTCGAAGGTCTTGATCAGTCGTTGCAAGATTTATGCTAACACAATCTACCCTTTGGGAAAGAATAAATGTTTTATTTATTATTTTTTAGACATCCACTCTCTGCAATATTGATCGAAATCAGTTGTAAACATCAATTCTTGCCTAAAATACTTAACGTTGTGAAGACATGTACACCTTTTTATTCAGTCTACAATTTAATACGATGCAGTCATCCATAGGTCAGTAGCAATCTTTAGAAAATATTTTAAGCAGTCAACAACATAATTTAAGAATACACTGGATTTGCGGGGTATCCTTTCAATTATATTGAAAGTAAAAATTACAAAGCTACGTTAAATTAATGAGCCAACACACTGCAATAAAAACCAAATAGTTGTTGATTGAATACTTAATCCATGCTAGTTCATCTACGCAATATAAATTTATATCATATATTTTCTAAATTGTATATTTGCTTCAATTTTTTTTTTGTGCTTTGTGTTTGGCACAAATTTAAATTTCAAATGATTGTAATTCCTATTTTAATAGCCAGGTATCGTAGTAGTAGTAGTATCATTACATCCAACGTTGATAAGTTAACATGTCTCGAAATATTAATTTCATACAAAGAAACTTAGTAAAACATAATTTTCAAACCGTAAAATTTGTTTATTTATAGGAGAACCAAAAATATTGTGAGAAACTTATGAAAGTAAATAATTTTCTACAGGAAACAATTCTCGGTAAACATGCACATTTTTGTTTATATATTCTTACAATATGTGTAAATAAAAGTTTCAAACCCTTTTCTATAAAAGGGTTATACAAATAATAATTTATAATCCCAAGACATTCAAATATATCAACTGAACACCACAAAACACCGAGAATTAATTTAGTATATGTAAATGTACACTTACATTTGTTCCTTCTTGAAATTGAGTTAACATTACAATTATACGAACATTATACTGTAAAATCATACGCCAAAAATCTATAGTTGTTTCAGATTTGGGACCCTGTGAAGCGATGTATTCTTTTTTTATTTTATAACCCTGTAAATATTCAAATTTTAAATCTCAGTATATAATCAGATTAATACCATTGCTTACGTCAATGAAAGACGCATTTATATAGTCGGAAGCTTCGTCATCAACATCCAATAAGACTCGATTTTTATCATCTGAAATTATATATGCTAAATATAGTTAAAATATTACAGAATTAAGCTTGCTTTCAATAATATAAAACAAGAACTAAAAGTAGAAATTGCAGTTTGTGTATATACTACACCTTATTTTGAACGAATATCTTTATATTTGTTGTTGAAAGAGTAGTAATGTGAACATAAAAAGCCTTACAGACTAGAAAATGATGTAATACTAAATAAAGCTATTTTTCTAAATTAACGAGAAGAAATATAACGATTAAGTTGATCGGAAAAATTATGATTCAACTCACTTCGAGAAAAATTGTCATTGTTTTGACTTTTAGAAAAAGCAATCTGAAGAAGTTAAGTACTTCCTGTTATTAGACTTACATAATCAGGGTATTTGAACCAGGTGAACCAAAGAATATGAACTATGTGATTTTTTTACATATCATTTCAGTGTTTAAATTTTAAAGTTCAATTATACTTGTTTATTTAATTAATAAATTAATTTTCACTTCACTCACCTTTAGCACAAAATAATTGAAAAAAGAAAGAGAGTCGATTTCGGCGGGTGCTCAAGGAACTAATCGCTAGCGAGTCGATGCAAAAAAGGGAAGCGGGATCCTTCTTTTGGTCCCTTATATATCTGTTGATGTCTTCATGGTGGTGTGATCGGTGTTAAGTTGTATTTGTGTGCGTGTTGGTGCATGGTGTAGTGATGTGGAATGTATGGTATGTAGGTGTGGAATGTGTGGTGTGAATTGGTA